TTCTTCAGTAGCTGGTCGATTATGTGCACTTCAATATCCTCTCACTGCTTGGTGTGTAGCTTCGTTTGAATCACCGCTTTTGTATTGCAATCTTACAAATTATAAAACATTTTTAACTAAAACAACACAAATTTGGTTGAACAGTTAATTTTGGCAGATGCCAAAATATGTATATGGCAGGAAGATATTCAAGCCTTCAGATTAAGAGAAGATATTATCCGAATGTGCATGAAAATGGAAGTAGGAAACGCTGTTCTTAAATACAAACATCTAAGGCGATAAAAAACAATGATACCCAGTTGTAATTCCATTATAAGTGGGTTTTTCCATATTAAGAACTTTATTAAAATCCTTTGTTGCTTTATCTAATCTATAGTACAACAAAGAATTTTCCTTTAAATAAAAGCCTGTTGATTTGCGAATTTTCTTCCAACTATTTCGAGTAAGGCATACTCACCATTAAATCTTATTTGTATCGGAGTAAAAATCTTTACGAATTAAGACTTAATCGAAACTCACAACAGCATTTCCCCACTCTAACTTTAGTATGATGAAGCTGAAGTGCTCTTTGGGTAGCGAGTTAGGTTGACTTTGAATATGCCTCATGAAAATTAATGTAAAATCCGAAAACATAAGTTCACATTTTCACACTTTCGCTTAGACTTTTCCTGGTGTTGAACAATGCCGGTAGTTAGAAAAGAGATATTCTACAGCTTACATACTGTATGTATGTATGTATGTAAAATAAATAGTAAAATGTACGGAATTAATTCTTCTAAATAATAACAATTAACTGTTGCAAATTTGTGCGTTTGTAGTTCGGATTTGCATTCCTAAATTCCACTTCCTCGCCTTTCACAAGTAGAGCAAAATACAATTGTAAATTGAGTCACGAATATGAAAATAGACAGTGATTACTTATGCAAACTCTTAATATTTCATAGCCTTCAAGTTTGTTGTGAGCCAGAAGCTTGGACTAAAATAAATTTTGTTGTTGTCGTTATGCCATGTAGTAAAATAAATATTTCACATAATTTTTTAAAGATTTTGGCGCTTAGTAACTGCTGAGGACCAGCTCTTCCTCCGATTTTTGCTATTTGCCATAAAGTTTTCCAACAAATCGAGGGACCTACAGCTTATAGGAGCGGCCGAGGACGCACCGCAATTAGGAAGCTTACCTTTTTTTGATTTAAATAAATGGTCTGTACGCAATGCGAACCACTCGGAAATTGCGGCCGCCGAATATTTCACATACTTTTTTAAGTTTTATACGTTGTTGCACAAGTGGAACTGAGTGGCATGTAAGTTATTTGGCTGTTGTTCCCTTTGAAAATATTTCCATACTTTTATTAGTTGCTTAAGAACTTCAATTTTATCAGTATTACTGACGAATGTTTTTGACAATAAAATCAATGCGTTGATATTATCAATAAAGCCATTTACCCAGCGCATTCTCATTTACATAGAAATATCCTGAGCTAGAGCTCCCCAGCCAATGGAATGCAATTCATTTCAAAGAAAAAGAGGAAACTTCCAAACTACTCATTGTGAACTTTCGCTATATATTTCCATTCAATGGCATGTGCGTTTATGTGTGTGTGTGTGTGTGTGTGGATGTGAGTGGATTAAAATGTTGTACAAATTTTCTGCATGCATACATACATACTTACTGGTATTTATAGTGAGCTAGTTTTTACCATCCACAAAAGTTAATATTATGATAGTGATAAATGTGAATGATAACATGAAATTTATATTAAAAAGAATGAAAGAGGTTTTCGGGCGCGCTTCTAGAGAAAGCATGGCAGACAAATATGAAGAAAGAAAGTGGAAAACTCTGAATTCTATCAATAGTGAACAAAAAAGGAAACTTTTTGTTTTCCGTACAAATAGTTGAAATGAGTTTCAGTACTTGCTATGTGCATATATATGTATGTATGTACGACTGGTGTTCGCGCTTTCATAAGAGAACTGCCAACTACTTGGCATTCAGTGGCTTTTGTTTTTGCATAATTTCAGTTTTTCGACGCTTAGTAAGTTTTAAAGTTCATGGGTTGAGTTTTGAGGCTTGGTATAGCCCACTTGAGTATTAATATTATATATGATTGCCACTATGTAATCGCTGAAGCGAATTTTTGCCAATTTGTAAAATGCTTCTTGATGCTTTAGCGCAGCCTTCGGCGGAGAGGTTGGCATTCTCAGCCGTGGGGCGACTGTAAATTGAAATATTTATTTTCCTTAATTTTTGGATGTTCATCGAACCGGGACTCGAACCGTGGTCATTCGAACGCTATTTCAAACTGCTCACAACTCGGCTATTGCGGCCACCGTAATATTGAAAGTGTAAAGTGTACATCCAAATGCTCGACAATAGCAACTCCCTAACCATTAACTATCCCTAATCACGCACTTAATACTTGTTGGTTAATAATGAATTGAATAATACAACAACAGACTGCTTGGCTGATGTTGTCGTAGTAGTAGAGCCCTCGCCTGGTAAGTCATGATCCGTTGGTTCGATTCACGACATAAGACGTCTGATGAGGAGATGTGGTGGTCTGCGAACAACCGTCACTTCTACCATTTTTCTTTGTTGTATAACAAAAAAATATTCAATTCATACAAACAAACCAGACCTTTCGTCTACAAAAACTTATAATAAAAATAAATATCCTCGAACCTATTAAGTTTCAAATATCTCAGAGTTTCCCATGCTGTCTTTCTTTCGTTGATGTCTCTTTTTATCAACTTCTTGGAGATGCATTTATTGGTTCCTTTTGGGTCACCGATAGCCCCAATAAAAGGTCTAAGCTTGTGGTACTCTTAAGGCTCAATTTACCATTTTATGCATCCCTCAATGATGGTAAATTACTGAAAGATTTTAAGAAGCCTTAATATTTTATTGAAATCCTCACCGAATGGAATACGGACGGTTGAAAAGAGACGTGCAATAAAATACATTTTATAATGTAAACTATTCTTTATTTCAGCGCTACTTTTGCTGTTCGTGGCTTCATCTGCATCACCTGCAATTAGTCGCGGCTATGTAATCATACTACATACTGATCTGTGTACTTATTTGAATGTATTTCAATGTACATAAATTTATTTTCATCGTTACCTTACCGCCATTCTTGGGCGAGCATCTTTGCGGCTGTCACTCTTCAGCTAAAGTTACTCGTAGTTTGGCGAATGCGCGGAAGAAGCGCATTGCTGGCGGTTGGTAGCGCGCAGGTGGAATGCCACTTTCAAGGTGAGCACTTTTACTTTTCTTTTTTCTGCAATGCCTTCTCTTTCCGACATTTGAATTGTACTTTTGTGACAGTATTTTACCTTTTGTCACTCCCCTGCTTTTTTGGCAGTTCCTTAGTTACTATTATTACTGACATTGTTTGGTGTACTGAAAGTGCGTCTAAATGACAGTTTTAGCTTGTGATATGCATTTTGACATAGTTTCCTTTGGAATTGGGTTACAGCAAGTGAAATGGTTATCATTTTTTTGCCATTGCTAAGGGAGTTTAAAAACTTTTATTAGAAGAGAGTTAATGTGATAAAGCAGGAACAAATACAATGGCGTGTAATTGTCATTTTACTTCACGTGCAAAGTACGATATTGGAAAAGATTCAGAAAATGATAGTGAAGAGCAATTATAGTTCTCATTCAAGAAATAGAATATAATAGAAATAGTGCTGGTATATAGGGATGAACTGATTATTCACCTTTTTTTAGTGAATATTCTTCCTTTATTTATGCATTAAAAACTCCAAATAAAAAAAATGTATATTTTTGTTTGGAGTTTCTAATGCAATCAAATTACATTGGGCGTCTTAAACTACGTCTCAAGAAACGAATTTTCAATTTTATAAAATAAAGCACACACATATTTTCATACACAAATTATCCCTTTAAAATGTGCGACCAATAAAGGCCAACAAATATCCAACAAGGCTTAATTAAAACGCTCTCTTAAGACTTATATGCATATAATTTATTCCTCCTCCAATTTGTGGTGTTGCCTCTTGATGACTTTTTCCAACAAATGGAGCAGAGGGGCTTCGCCGTTCCCGAAAGAAGCTATAAAATTATATTTAGCAAAATTTCTTGGAAATCATAGCAGTTCGGAATGGGATTAAAATCTGAAATTTAATATCCACACAAAGGTCATAGCAGTGACACACATAAGTTCAGAAGGCTAATGAAATGCCCGCAAGGGTAAATAGCCGTTTGATTATATCTAATTAATGTATTTATTACTTAGTTTTTCTCTTTTGACGACCAAGCAATAATGCTCCAACGGCTCCTTTAACGCTAACAAAAACTCTTACTGTAACCGAAATCGCAGTAAAACAATTTTTCCAATTTGTTCATTTTGTTTCATATATTTTATGTTTTAATTTGCTCTATATCCTACAGGCGTCATTATGGCAGAATAGAAAGAGGAATAACCAACCACAAAGGAGTCTGGAAAGCCTAGCTAATCTTATCCACAGGAACCAAGAAGATTTAAATGGACTCAGAGGGATGCGACAAGAAACCGAAAAATGAAATTACCTCAATTTTTTAAATGATATTTTAGATATTGAAAAGAAATGAAATTTTCATGTTATTTTTTGGCTATGTATGTGGATCTTTCTCTGGTTTGAAAAATTAAAAAAAAAAGTAGATGAAAATTTTTAAATCTCAAAAGTTAATCGATTCTAAATCATTTTGGTTTCTTGCTATTTTTCACTTAACAAAAATTCAACTGGAATTAAGAGAAAATGAAATGAAATGAATTCAATAAATCGTTCGATGGTGTTAAAGTCACTTATGCAAGCTTCTGCCTACCAAAAAAATGTCAATACACATTCACTTCATGGAATTTCTGTATTGACGAAAACAATTTTTATCTTTAAATGTTTAATTGTGAACTAGAGGTTTTTGGAGGAAAGATCACAGAAAATAATAAAAATAATAAAATTTTAATTATAAATATTTTACTTCATTTTTATTCACTTACCACAACAAAGTCAGTTTAGTACATCTTTATGCTGTTCAAGTATAAACACATATGTAGGTTCGTGAGTGTATGTGGTTCGTACGTCAATCACTTTAATTTCACATCTACATTTACACTCAATTGTGTTTTTTGGCGTTTTTAATTTACCGAATTTCTTAAATCAAAAAATACATTTTTCACATATACATACATACGTGTGTACTTTATATGTTAATTTATAAGCACACGCTGATAATCGGTTCGACTGACGTGAGTCTTATATTTCAGCTCCCACCATTTATTTTTTCGAAATTGAAATGCAGGCAAACCAAAGCAAAAGTGTATACTCATATGTATATACGTATGTTCATATGGAGCTTCTTAAGCAGTGTGCAGGTGTGTGTGATCAAACAATGGCGAATTTTCGTGCTTGTTTTCTTGTTTTCTTGATTTTAATTTTAAGTTGTAAACATTGCCGCTCAAGGCTTCGTCCTGTTCTCCCCTGCGAGCTTGCCAGCCTGTCAAGTCAACTGACAGCTGGCAGATTTTTATTCGCACTTTGTTTTCCGAAAAAAGAAAAGAACTGCGTTTGTATTTTTTGCTTCAATTAATGACTTTAAAATTTGAAACCGTTAAATGGGATATTTAAATTATGATAGACAACGATCAACAATTAAATTATTTATTAATAAAAGCTTTTTATTAAATTTGTAGTGATTGCATATTTCATGGGTTGCTCAAAATCACCGCTGGTAAAGTTAATTATTTCCGGAAAATTTTACTTTTTCCCATAAAAGAAAAAGATGTTTATAAGGAATTTAATAAAATGTTTGAAATGATGAAAAGTGAAAATATTTTTTGTTATTAATTTATGTTTATTATGATACATATATTCATAACTATTACTCTTGCCGTGGAACAAAGTTGAAATTACCCGCGATCGAAACTTCACGTACTTTCACTTTTGGGCAGCTCGGCAAAAACTCACTACAAGTACACTTGCTCACAAGGTCGCGTATACGCACCGACTGCCCGTCGACATGCAGAGCAGCAGCAGCAAAGCTGTAATTTAGTCCGAATTTGCAGCACACATATATTTGGCGGGACATTCCAAGTATTCCAGCCCACAAAAGCGCATGCGTCTTCAGTGCTGGATAACAACAACAATTAGAGCAAGGCGACTATAGATGAGCAATTGCCGACAAGAAAACGTGTCCACCTGTGGCATTAACATTAACAGCCACCTCGTACTAACAACGGTGACGGGGCTTACGCAAAAGAAGAAAAATTGCCAACAGCTGTTTTCGTTTAGAATCTTCAACACAAATACACTCACACAAAGGCGACGAATGTCATTAAACTGGCGTGTGTATGAGTGTGTTGAGTGTAATTTAGGATTACTCAGTTACACAATGACAATTGTGCTATGCTGTCAATGTTGTATGTTTGGCATTGAAATTTCACCTTTGATTCGAAATTAAACACAATGTTAATTATAATCTTGCTCGAATGTCACCTCGTTTGACCTTTAATAATGTAAAAGAAATGTTTACAAACCATAAAGTATCAACTTGATGTTTCTTTGTACAAATTTAAATTTTTCCGAAAATAATATAATTTCATATCACAAAATAGTATTTGAAGTATACATATATCTATGTATCAAAGGCGTTTGGAATCCATAAGAGATGTAATTTTTGTACACCATAGAAATTATGCGGCCATTGAAATGGATACAAACACATTTCACATCGAGTCACAACACGTCTGAACCGTGATTCTGGCTCTGTTTAAAAATACGCGGCACTATAAGTTCAGACATAATTCTCTGTCGCTTATTTCCTCCAAGTGTGTTAATGGATATTGGAAACTGGCCATTGTACGAAGGGATTGATGGAGTCTTTCGTCCTATTCTTCACTTGGAACGCCAAAATTTACAGGAAAATAATCCTGATGGTTGCGAAGAAAGTCCTACTTGCTGCCACTACTATTTCGAAGCTTGCAGTTGCATGGACTTTTGACGAGTCCATCTTCCTCAGCTCAGACCTTCTGCTCAGATCCGATCTATCCAGTTAAACATTTTGCCCTGCCAAGGACCCGCTTTAAGATATGAAAGTAGGGAAAGCAGGAACCAATTCAAATACAAAGCGCGCGTAGAGTGGAAAATAGATTTCATAGGAGATGCAACCGCCAGTCAGGTGGAACTTATTCTCTTTACAAGGAAACTCCGGTAAGTAAGGCCTACCCGCAAAAGAACATTTGGACAAACAATTTAAACCAAAAACTTTACCTATTCGAGACTACAAGACGAGAGGAAGGCATGGATGGCGACTGAGATTTCCATTTATTGGCTGCTGCCAGATCTGTGAAATCAAAAAAGGGAAACGACCTCCCGGTCCCAGCTCTAAATAGCATTTGGTATCGACATTTTAATCAAATCTTTGCATAACAATTTATATGGAATTAATTGATGAATTCAACTCGATTCAAGAGTAAAAACTGTACCTCTGTGGGACCTTATTTAGTTTGTGTGGATTGATTAGTGGAAATTTTCAGCGGTCAATATTTTTCGCAATTCAGTCATTAATTGAACTCATTGATCATACTCAAATACTATGTTTTCTCTGCCGTTTTTACATCCTGTCATTGTAATATTTTCATCATCTGTACCTTACTATCCCCACTCAATGACATTGAAATGAATAAGTAAACGTTTAAATAAAGCAGACTAGAAAAATCACAATTGAAATTCAACAAAGAAGATCGGATATCTGAGCAAGGAAATAGAAGATATTTAATCCTTGTGTACTCTTCTGGCTCTATGTCTTCTTTCTGTTTTTTGAACTCATAACACGACTTCAAACTAATGGAAGATAGGAATTTAACCACAAAGGCATAATAACAATAAAATCATTTAAACTGATGTGACCCATGACGTTTTAAACTCTGCTTGCTGTCATCTGCTTCGCGTCAAACCCTTGAGACTCATACATAAGTACATATGTACGCAAATATATATTAGCAAAGTCTGTTGTTCTTCTTTTAGCTGTTATCTTCTGCTATCGCAGGATATCGCTGCCTGTCTATAAAACGATATATGGGTTTGTGTGTGTACTTCGGCCTGTCATTGTGTTTCATTGTTGCTCATTAACTTGAAACAATTAAATGCTCACCTCAACACAGTTAAGAAAGCAACAATAACAATCAATAAACAACTTAAGCCCATATAAAGCGAATAATGTCGATATGAAATTACAACCTCGAGCAGACATTGACATTTTCAACGCTGTCGACGAAGTGAGAGTAATTGCCAAAGTGACTCGTCAGTACGCTCTCAGGCAGGAAGGCAGCGGTAAAAAGCCATTGTAGGCCATGGCGTATGACTATCATATGCTGCTCTACAACAAGTCCTAAGTGGTGGCAGTCATGTTGGTGGAGTGTATCTGAGTGTATATGTGCGCGGCCACTGAAGTTCTTGACACTACGTGTCACATTTAATTTCATTTAACTGTTAAATATTAATTTAATTTAATTCAAGCAGACGTAGCGAAACTGTCTCACATCATCTGGGATAAAAAGGTGACACTAGACGATGAAGTGAGGAATACCTGGCGATGCTGGCAAAGGGGAAAGCGTTGTACGGGCTTTAAATTTATGGGTGGAAGAGCCATAAACTCGTTTGTTTAATCTTTGGGCCAATATTAGAGCGTGTGCGACCAACTTTGGACTGCCAAATGTGCACAAGTAAGCGTTTTGATTGAGATTTAAATAGAAATGGCAAACTTAGAAAGTAAACGATGGGCTTATTATTGAAGCTTTGAGCACTTTGGATAAACTGTTCGCAAGAAAGAAGGAATTTTCGCTTTCACCCACTCGCATATGTCCCACAAACCAAGTAAAACTCCAATCTTAAGCAATTCAATTCTTTTCTGTAGTAATTTTAGCCTGCCAAATTAGTATCGGTTGATCGCTTAAGTCATCTTCTGTATATTTACGGCCGATTGGCAGTTACCATCGCAGACTGTAAGTAAAACAGATGAATGAAATACCTTAAACTGTCCTTATTAACAGCAGATGATCAATAATACAAATATTAAGAAAAGCCAATTATCTTCGCAACTTACAGATGGAGCTAATACTGCAATGATCGTAATGAAATGGAATCTAACTAAGATCTGCTCATCTTATAAATAATTCAAAAAAAAAAAAAAAAACAATTTCCAACAATTTATACTAATATGACTTATAAGGTATTATCTGGCGAAGTCATCTTGTCCAGAACAGCGGAGACATTCTAGCCGGTGGAGCCGCCGGTTAAATTGTGGGTTATATCGAAGACTGAAATAAGCTCAGCTGCGTCAGAATCGTATGAACTATCTCCATTTAGCTCCTAGTCTGAGTTTAAATGGGGATACTTCTTTCCCTAGTTATTGTAATTTTCCTCTTTGTGTCGCCCTTCATGTTCACACAGAGACACTTACTTAAAGCACATTTGTTTCTTCTTCATTTTTTTTTCTATTTTTTCAATATTTCTGAAATGAAAATGCTATGTGTGTTTAAAGGAAGACAACTAGAATCAGATCAAGATGAGAAACAAAATAAAACGGCATTTCAAAATCTACAGAGACGATTAGCACAAAAAGAATAGAAACACAAAGCGTATCGAACGAACACAGCCACACGGTGCGCTGTCGACTTGGTCGTCGCACCCTCCCATAAGTATCACCGAGTAAACTCGGACGAACAGCACAAGAGGACTTTTCATCTTGTATAATACATATATTCGCATTAGCTAGGCAGATGTATTTTATAGTATTAAAATCGAGGATGTTAACGTTAATCCAAGATTTGGATGAGGGAATTCACCTCAAAGTGTGCTGGCTGCAAATCGACGAGATTTGGCGAATTCCTCCGAGATGTGATGACAAAATTAGCGCACGATTTTCGCTTAACATTTGCGTCTTCTCAATATATAATATTAACATTCACGGTTAAACCCCTAACAGCAACATTTTCTGTTATTGAATGCTTTCAAATTTACGCTGCGTGATGCCGCCCCAACGTGTTGTTATCAAACATGAAATTACACTGTTTTAAGTAAAACATGTTGCACCGAGCTCTGCCATCAGAGGACTTATAACAATTATTAGCGTAATAATGATCATTATAAGCTCTCTGCTCAGCCGTGCTATCTGAGAGCGATGAGCGAAGCTCTTACCACATAACTAGTTGTCTTTGCTCGTGCTTTCTCTCCCGAGCGTGTGCACGCTCGCATACACGCCATTCTGTTAACCAAGCGCTACTGCCTGTCAATGCGGGTCTGCTTTGGTGTACCGCGCTCACGGCCGTTTGTTTGTTATTTAATGCCTTTAGAGAAACACGTTCGTACATTAGTGCGCGGACGTAACAATGCTTTGCTGTCGTTTGTTGGCCAAAACACACAAAATCAAATAAAAAGCACTTCAAACTGATACAAACAAATAAATCAACAAATGTAATAATTTTGAAATCAAAGAAAGAAGAGTGAATAAAAAATTGTGAAAAGCATAAGTTAATTATTTTATACGGTTTCAAAAACGTTCAGTTACTGCGCTTATCAGTGAGAAAAAATAATAATAAAATAGCGTGTGTTCGTGTGTTTTTGACTTTGTGCTTTTACATTTTCGGCATGAAAACAGAAATGTGTTTTACGCGTAATTTAACTAAAAATATGAGTTTTCGATTTGTGTCTTTTGGCTGACGTTTGCGGTTATTCTACGGTTTTGTTTACTGTTTTATTTTGTGTGTATGTATGTACATATGAACCCACGCTCATCATTAAAATTCTTAAACATTTTGTGTCGCGCGTGCTTTGGAGGAAAAGAGAGTTAATATAAACAGAGGTGAATAATAAGTGTTTCTTCAAAGTTTTCGTACGAATATGAGCTTTTATTACTTTAACAAACAACGTTTATTGAAGTTAATAAGATAGTTACAAATATATGCACATATGTATGTAAATATAAAAAAAATATTGTGAAAAAATAAATAAATCAAAATAACTACATTTTAACTGTAAATTCAAGCTGTTTCTCCTTAAACTCAAAATAAGTGCACGAAGCTTATTACATACATTTAGATTGATATATCAATTATCTCACTCCTTGCATGAGTTGAATACGACGGAGTACTCATGAGCACTACTAAAACACCTGGTTCGATTGCTCTCAGCAGAAGAGAACTCATATTGTGAATGCCCTGGTATTCAGAAAAACAGCGGCTTATTCGTCTTTGATTCCTAAAACAACAAGGCGTTCTTATCAATCAAGCAACCAAGCCTCGTGAACACTCTACACAACAACAATGAATACATATCAACCTACTGAATAAAAATATGAGCATCTGACTGTTATGTCAGGAAATTAGTAAACGATTTGTTCTCTCCAGCTCGTACTCATTGATACTTGTTACTCTCAGCACAGATTCGTCTTCCGAATCCCTAAAACCGACTGTGTAGCAATTTTCCCGACTCTCTCTCTCTCTCTCTCTAATGCTTGTAACACACACCAATTAAACCTGAAAAAGAATCAAGGAAAACCATGTCATGAGCAGAAGTCAACCAAAAGACAGCAATAACAATAACATCAATTCTGATAAGCCGAACTAAAAAAAATGTCCTTCACAAACAAATTTGGTTTGCACTTGCTTTCATTAAAATTGTATTATTTAAGTAACAAGGAACGAGTGGCGCATGAAATAAGAGCAAACGACAAATACAACAACAGAGTTACAGTGGGGGCAAACATGTTTTCAACAATTTTTTTATATAAAAATTAAAGCATTTTATTCAAACTATTGAAAAGTGAGTGTTTAGCAATTTTTTTCAATTTTGTCAACAATTATTTGAGAGGATTAAATCGCTCAGCTGTATCTCTGAAGTTTTACTTCAGATCGACTTGAAAGGGTCTTGAGATTTTGCGAAATATATGTAACCCCTTAATAAATCAATCTAGCGCTAAAAATAAAATTTTTCGCTCAATGAGATTAAAAATTGAGTAAAATAATTTATATTCTTTTATTTAAATATCTTAAATCATGAATAACTTGTATAACCAAATCATCTTTTTACATTTTCAGTTCAAAAATATATCTGTAAATTATGTGACGCGTGTGTGTTATGGCGCGAATTGAAAAATATGCAAACTTGACACATATCAACGATTTTTATGAAGAATCTATGAAAGCATCCATTTTAATGAACTAATGAAGTCATAACTACACTTATAGAAAAGTGCGTCAGCGTATATATTTACATATAAGTCAATACTTATAATGTTTACAGCAGAAAGCAAATACAGATTTCAAGCATCTTAAAACTTTAACCTCACTTTCATAATAAAAATCACAAATTAACCAAGGATGCGAATGCAGCTGGTCCCTCAAGTAGACTCTAGTTCCAAGCAATAATAAGGCGAGAATTGCAACGCCAACGAACTCAGTAGACAAAAATATCAAAAATAAAAAAACACCGAATAAAAAAACCTCGACAATAAACTCGTGTTATGTACAAAAAAGGGGCAACCCGACTATAAGAAAAACAAAAGCTCTTTTGCCATTCTATGCAAATTACGCTTCGCACCAGTCTCGTCATACACCCACACATACGTACCCACCACACACCTACACACACACACACATGCAAGCCTGGCGTACTTGGGACCGCGGAGAGGAATGTTGTGTGAAAAAGTGTAAATGTCACGACGTTTATTTATTGTCTGCGATAACCACAAACGCCGAAACACGAACAACAACGACAACAAGTTGGTCTAATAAAAAGTAAGCAGCATTTAGACTTTTTTGCAGCCACCTTTACGTAAGTGTGTGTATTTGTGTGAGGCAACCACTACAGCGATAGGTGTAAAAATTAGTTGAAAAACAGCATTTAACAACAAAAACAACACTGATAACATCCAGTTAGAACGAGCAAATAAAGTGCGTCAAGGACATTGACAAAGCCGAGCCGAAACAATGAGGATACGAAAACGAGTGTCTGCGATACGAAGTTGATAACGGAGGATAGAGAGAACGTCAAAGCGAAAGCCAGCAACGAACTTTTGTATTTTTCCTCTCCGAAGCGAGGATAAATCAGTTTGCTTTGCAACAATTGCGATTTCGTTGTTAATCTTCTCTTTCGCTCTATTACGTTCGAGAGGCAATAGAGAAGGCCAAGGGAAGGAAGAAAAACTCAAAATATTAAAAGTCTGCCGTCGATGCGCTTGAAGGAAAATATGCCCTGTTGCTGGATCTTTTGGTATGCAAAAGTCACATATGTGTACACACACACTTATGTCAATATACTCACATAAACCCATTTGTATGTACGCATATAACGACTATTGCCTACTTCTCGGCTCTGCATCGCTACTAATTCCAATAAAATCAAGTCACCCGACAGCAACAGCAACGAGGATATAAAAATAAATGTGAGAAAAGTGACAGCAGCAACTAGAAATAAACGAAATAAAAGGAAAGCCCGCCCAAACAAAACACTCAGCAAAAACAAGAAAGAGGAAGCAAATTCTTTCCACCAACAAAGCCAACCGAGGGACGTTTCATTCCCCAACAATCATAGAATTCACCTTAAAATGCTTTGAGGATCAAGCAGGTATTATTATCGATTACAGCGGCAAAGACACAAATGTGTGGAAGGAGTGGCAGTAGTGGAAGAAAGACACCACAGTAATAACCGTAACAACAGCGACAACCACACAAAATTACTTATACAACAACGATTTAGGATTGTCTTTATATTTATATTTATATTCGTGTGCATATGTGTTTGATTGTATGAGAAACACACTCTTAGTCATATTGTCTCAGTTACAAACTAGCAAGAGCTGAGGAACACACGCTTTCAGGACCACTAGTACCACTCCACCAATCTACAAATAGAAATTTCACAAAATGGCACGTCGCAAAGGAAGCGGAAGAGGAAGTGAGTTAATATTTGTTAAGATATTTGCGTAGAGAATTGTAATTAAATTAATAATATACGTAATTAGCATATACATATATATTATATAAAGTAAATAGCAGATTTTGGGTTTGAGATTCGAACTCGAAGTTTCGCAATTCTTAAATATGGCTTACGTATCTTTCGTCAGACTAAATTCGCCGAATTAAATAGATTTCTATTATTCTAAACGAGACCTAAAGACCATATAGATTAATTTGTCTTCATAAGAATTCACTTTGGCCACAATAGCCTAGTGGTTAGCCTTGCGTACTGCCTTTCTGAAGGCCAGTGTTTGAGTCATGATTCGACCAACAACAGGGAATGTCAAGCCCTCCGAGTGTATTTCTCATAAAAAATAAAAGCAACCTATAAAAATCTTTGGGCCTTTCGAAGGCAGCTAAGAATAACCTGTAGGTCCCCCCACTAGTTGGAGAAACCTCAGTTACAAAATGCCTCATATAATATATATGATATATGAACGTATATAAATATTTTGTCATTCGTATTCTGTCAATTTTGAAGCATATTTTGGCAATGATAAAACGAAAAACTGTTGGGTTTATTGGAAGAAAACTTCCATGTGATCGGACTCTTACTTCCACCACAATAGCAAAGTCTTCATGGTCTAAAAATATCAACGAGAAGCTTGTAATGCTTTGCCCCATTTCGTGAACTCTTTGAAGCGCTAATTGGACCCTTATGAGTAATACAATAATATCTCTTTAGGAACTGTTTTCATTGGACGATGGACATTACACTGTAGACGAATTGCTCTTGCAGTCTCTTCTCTAACTTAAGTTTCTTTTCAATTCCACATAAATTACGATGAGTCATGGAATATTCCATGCCATTTTTAGACAATATTTTTGAACAACTAACCTGTTTGGCTTGCTATTAAATTGAATTTCATTTTTATTTTTCCCAAATAGTATTTCTGCAGCAGAACGCTAACCATTGGTTCAACAAGTATTGCTAATGGTTTTCCTTTCTTGTTGTTGTTGATTATACTTTGGCAGAAACTGCGCTGCTCCATTAGTTGACTCATCCAAAGTGGCAAAAAGCTGCGAGGGAACTCCTAAAACCGAGACCATGCGATTGTACATACACATATACATATATCTTTACATATGAACATTATTCGTGACAAGCGATTACATGTGCACAAATTGTACAATAACTCGTGTGTGAGTCAGAATCTCGCCTCCAGCGTTGGGGTGTGTGTTCAACTATTTTACCTTTGTTGGTCCAAAAAGTTTATTAACAAAACGTACGAAAAATTCCATGTCTACTTTTCTGGAAAACTGTTTTTCCTAAAACATGAATTCAATTTTCGAAAAGCATATGATTTACAACAATTTTTGTATTGAAAAATAGTTACTGTATAACACAGATTTAAAAAGATTACCGCCCAGAACAACGAGTGGTAGCCAATCCCGATTTTCACTAGAAAATTTTGTTCAGCGATGAAACCCAATTGTGGCTGGATGGGAGTGATAAGTGAAAAGTTTTTCGTGCCTGCAAGGCGGCTCTTCATGTCACACTGCCAACGAAACAATCGATTTATAGATAGAAAGTTTTGGCGAACATATTGTATTATCTCGCTGGACTATTTTCTGTAGAGTTATGTGAAATTCTTGTCTACGCTGATATAACCGAGTTGTCTTAGGAAAGAATACTCGCGAGTTAGTGTTGACATATGATTCCCGGGAATTCGATCAAGCCAACCGCGGTGGTCAGATGCCCGAAATCATTTTTAAAACCTAATGCCGAACATAATAAAGCTGAAAAAACCCTCTACATTAATTTATCAGCTGGAGTTTATTCATTTTATGCATATATACATACATACATACATACATACAAACATATAGAAATATGTGTGCAGGAAATTTGCAAGCGAGCTTTTGTGCGGCGCTCAAATGTGTCAAGGCGCTTTGTTCCCAAGAGTAGTGCATAGCAAATGTGTAACCGCGCACATATTTATGTCCACATTTACTTGAATGTTCTGCGAAACTGTTGCTTCCTGTGATCCATTGACGCACCCAGTAAACTTTTCAACAAGCCGAAAGTCAACGATTATTTGAGCGATGTGTTATTTTTTCTCTTTTGAGATATTCGCTTTTTCTCATCAATTCAATAATTTCTTTGCCAAAGTATTATCGCTCATATCCAGGTATCCATCCTTCCAGATATACCAAACTTTTCCCTGCGGCTATCGTCAATATGATCTGACACTACTCTCAACAACTTCTCAACATTGTTCAGTATGTTAACTCACGTAATAACATCACAATTACTCAATTTGAGACTGACTTAGGTAAGCGGACGCGTTCAGCACATTTTCAAAATTTTCTCAGCATTTCACTATCACAATGGCATGTTTTAAATATTGCTCCTGTCAAATTATTTCCCGAATGCTTGTTGGGTTATGCTACGACATTTTTATATGGTAGTATGTATGTATGTATGTATGTACGTAAATCTATTTCTTTCTTCAGGGATTCACTGTTTCTTTTTTTGTGACTTTAGCAGGAATTGACATTGGTTTTTATTGAGTTTATTGTCGTCTGTGATGTTATTGGCAGACAATTCATCCCTAGATGTGCCACAGTGCTCTCATTATATACATATATTTGACATGCTAAGGAAAAAATTCCTTTGAAACTTGCACACACACACACATTACGACACTGTGGCCTTGATTGAGGAGAATTTATAGGGAAGGTAGTAGAATGTAGCAGCAGTTATGGGGACCATGTGTATTAAATATTAGGAAAGTAGAAATAAATGAGATTATAATGATTTTTCACGATAAACTAAATATAAAATGTAAATATCTTCAGGTGAGCTCTCAATTAATACCTTCTTGAAAATTAACTTCCTTTTACATCTTTTTCGCCTAATACCGCGCCACTTGTTCCTCCTCTTCGATATTGGAATCGCCTGACCTTAATCTTCCTCTGCTTCCACCATTGAGCGACATGTCATAAGTAGTGCTGGACGCTGTCTCTTGATTCGCTGATATGTGTAAATGTCATCGTATAACTCGTACTCGTCTGCTTTATTCGCCGTTTCCAATGCACAAAGACTATGAGAATTCGCAAAACTTCTCCCTCAAAAACTCCCAAGGTCGACTCATTGGTTGCTGACCTCGTCCATGCTTCTGCACCATACAGTTTTGTTCCTCGAGAGAGGACTTTACTTTTCAATTTCTTACAAAGTCCAAGCTAGCATTTTTTAACCAGAGTTATTTGGTGTCGGAGTTCAAGGCAGTCATTATTATTGGCGTCAATGCTGATCCCTAGAGAAACGAAACCACAGTGACATGGCTGTCGAGTCGTGAATGTGATGACTCGCTCCGCTTCTTTATCAAGCCTGCAGAAAGCAAAACTATGAGCGCAGCGGTTAAAGCCAGTGATATCAATGTGAACAGCATACGTCAGCAGCTGTACACACTTGTAGACGATTTTCCCTTGTCTATTCACCTCAGCATCAAATTTAAGAAATAACACGATATGGAGTCACTCTATCTGAAACCTCGTTTGAACGGAACGGCTCGGAAGGATCATTGCCAATTCTGTCTCCACTTCAGGTATTGCCTATCGATATTAATTTTGGCTCTGCTTAGAAATCATCTAATAAAATACGAGTGTGTCTATCTCGATCGCGCATCTTGATTTTCAGATACTCAGATTTTTTTGCGATACATCCGATGTATATATGTATCTATGTTTATATGCAAATACTCGTAGTAACACGTGCATTGTTTGTCAAAAACAAATATAAACACGTAGGAAAAGAAATCCGATCGTTTACGCTCCACTTACAGTTATTTCTCTCAAAGCTAACCACGCACTCCAGCTTTGCTCAGATACAAAATTAAAGGAAATACATACATACATGCATATCCACTTCTCCCTGTGTAAATTTAATAAGAAGCAAATAAAAACCACCCGTTTTCATTCTGCACTTCTGCCTTCCATTATTTTCCCTCGTTCAACAGGCAGTCAAATAACGCTCGCATTCCTTGCCTTGCGAATTCTACTGGGAATAAATGTCTAAAAGAGAATAATAGATTAACGAAGAATTTAAATTTTTGCCACGAGAAACACCACCAGGGGCGGAAGTGGGTAGTGGAAGGTTTTATTTTGTATCAAATTCTCATACATACAAACCAAGGATGATGGAGGAATATCTCTATGTGAAGCCTGGTAATCTATTTCAAAGCAACAGTACAAGTCGAGTATGTGTATACTCGTATGTCGGCGACAGAAAAATAATAGGAAGTTAGAAAGTGGACGTTTATGCTGTGTGTGGGTGTGCCAGGACAGAAAGAAATGAATATTCTTTTGCTATTTGTACAAATATTGTAAATAAAAACTTGCTTGAGATACGTGCCGACCCACACATAAACATGTACGTATACGTGAGCGCATGTACATTACTATAAATCTTATATATTATATTTTATTATATAAACGTAGAGAGGGCACTTTTTAATAAATACTCTTTGGGGATATATAATTTTTTAGATTACTATGCAGAGTAAATGTAGAAATCTAAAATATTTAAATGGGCAGACTGTATATGGATTTCAGGTGAATGAACTAGCTGGAATGTGAGATTTGGCTAAGGGAAGCTGGCGCTTTGACGGGGTTTTGAACTCTTTCTGACGAGGCAGACGGAAGGACATAGCTGAGTAAATTCTGACTATTCTATCTTTCCGCTCTAGACCACGATAACATATAGATCACATACAACCGATTTGTTCCGATATGAGGTCCCTACACGAAAAATGTAAATAAATTAAAATGCAGGAAGTTTCTTGAGAGTCCACAGAATATGGGGGGATAAAATGGCTTAACTTAACCGTCCCTTTCATAATGATGGGCTTCGTCTTCTGCTTACATGAAAATGATTCGCCATTGTTTGGGTTAAATTAAATCCTCTCGTCCAAAACAACTGTGGCGAAAACCAGA